ATCTCTCTCTCCACCTCTCTAGTTTCCTTTTAACTTTCATCTTCCTCTGTTAGTATATAAACTCCTCAAGGGAAGGGACTGTCTTTTAGGGGTTATATTTGTAGTCTTACCCTTTAGAACAGTTCCTGGAAAATGGTAAATGCTTAATGAGTGTGTTGTTTCTCTACCTAGATATCATTGCCCAGAGTCACACAGATAGTAGAGCCTAGTGTAGAGTTTGAAGTGAGGTTTTTCTAATTTCAAGTCTCTTGACCTATTCGCTATACCATTCTGCCTCTCAATCAAAATAACTAAATTTGGGTTTTTCCCCTTTTATTTAGGGGCAGCTAGGTCGTGAAATGGATAGAGTGCTGGGCCTGGAATCAGAAAGATCTGAGTTCAGATCTGACCTCAGACACTTCCTAGCTGTGTGATCCTGGGCAAGTCAGTTAACTTCACCTTGCCTCAGTTTCTCCTTTTGTAAAGTGGGGATGATAGTAGTACCTACATTTCAAGGTTTTTGTAATATAATAATCGTTAAGCACTTAGCATAGTACCTGGCACATAGTAAACACTATATAAAGGTTAGCTATTATTATTATTTACAGATGGGGAAACTGAGGCCTAGGGTGGAAAGGTGACTGGTTCAAATTAATACATCTAGTTAGTGGAAGCGCTGCAATTATATCTCTGGTCTCTTGAAACCAGAACGAGTGGTCTTTCCTCTGTCTCATGCTGCCTCTGCTTGAGATGAAAGGGCATGGAATTATTTATCTTACACCACAAATTTGGGAGGAAGGGATTCCAGGACACAGAGAGGCTGTTAACGGGGGTCTGAATATGTATGGGGTTGATAGGAATGCGGCCATGCCACCATGGTAGCACTCAGTTTGCTTGCTTCTAGCTGGAGAACCACTGGTCACAGTTTAAATGTGACATGCAATCTGAAGGGCAAGACCAGTTTGGATCACTTGTGTTAATATTCAGCTTAAGGGCCATCTCCTTCATGAAGCTTTCCCTGATTTCTCCCCTCCTCCCAATCTGGCCCAGCTAAAGGTGTTTTTTCCTTTTTCAATTTGTCTTTCAGTATTGTGAAACTCTATTTTGCCTCACATTTATTGTATTTCTTATGGCTTTTGTGGGTAGTAGGAACATCTAACTTAGAGTCATAGTAGCTGAATTCAAATTCAAATTGTGTTACTATCTTGTGTGACCTTGGGCAAATTATTTCATACCCTGCATTCTGGGGTTCAAATTCCACATCTGTATAATGAAGGTTTGGGGCTCCATGATGTCTTTCCAGATCTGGGTGTATAGCTTATGATCCTATTGAGTCATTACTCTTGGGTAATGACTCTTGGTCATCATACTCTTCTGACAAATAAACCCTTGTGTCAGTTAGTTTTAAATAACTGCTTTTTTCTTTAGTACAAGGAAGGATTATTCCTCCTTCCTGCCCCTCCTCCCCCAGTACCTGCAACTCCCCCCACCTCCATCCCCCATTCTGATATTGGAGAGATGGGAGAAGTGCCAGGAAATGACTTTCGTGTTAAAAAAATAAAAGGTATCAATAAATTTTTTGGTGGAAAAAGCCACAAAAAGCCACAATAGATTCTCAATTACTACCCAGCCTTCAGTCCTAGACATCATTTGCCACCAATGTCTCTGACAAAGACACAATTTGGCCATTCATACTTGAGCCTGCCAGTGATTGCAAGCCAAGGAGGGCAGGTACAAGCATGGCTTCCTCATTATAGGCTGTCTCCCAAAGGTTAGTCTGTACCCTCTAGAGAGGTAAGTGAGCAGTGAAATGGTAACTGACATTGGCAAATTGGAAGGCTGCTTAATTGAGTCTCTTAAAATTCAAAGATCCATGTGAATGAGATTGATGGGCTAGTGTACTAAGGCAAGGGGGAACTTGATTGGTGCTATGTTTTGATTTATTGGCTGTCCAAATTTTCCTAGGGCTCTCTCCTGCCTTCCTTAAGAGCTGGATCCTCTTTAGCAGTATTCATTACATCTTTGTGTGGACTCTTGCCCACAGTCAAAGTGAGTCTCTGTATTTATTGGCAACCCCGTGTTTACACCAATTGGCACTTTCTGTGGGTCCTTGGAGGCCAAGTCTACATTATGAACTAACTATACATTTGCCAACAAGAAAGTGGAAGTGTCCATCAAGTGAGCCTTGGGAGAAGAACTCTCTGCTGCCTTTTTCACCTCTGAAGTTGTTTTCTTTTAAAAAAGTAAATAAATAGATAAAAAATAACCCACAGGACATTTTATAGTCATAATAGTCTTTCTATCAGTTTTGGATACTTCAGAATACAAAGAAGTAGCCCTGGTACTTTGAAAGAAAGGAAAATACGTGCTCATTGTTCTGTTCCTCTAGAGGGAGGGGCCTTACTGTAGACTAGATACCTGTCTGTTGTACTGTGTCCAGGTCTTTCTGTAGCACATAAAGAGGTTGGACCATTTTCTGTGGGAACTTTGATTTTCGGAAGAGATGCTAAGGCTCAAGTAAAAAGCAAACAAAAACCAAACCAAACAAATAATAACAACAACAAAAACAAGAAAAAGAAACACGAAGAACCCTACCTCTCCTCCTAACCCTTCATCTGCCAAATGTGTTCCATGGATAAGCAAATAAGTTATTTTACTTTGCAAAACCATAGCCAAGATACTTTGTAGATCGAAGGTATCTTCTCAGCAAATATGCATCCTAGTGGAAACCTAAGTTGAAAGAGCTGTGTATGGTTCCAGCACTTTAAAAATGTTCTAATGCAGGGATACTTAAGGGATTGAATAAAGAAAAGTAGTGATTGTGTCATGTGACCTCTATAAGGGAAGATCTAGTCCAAAGTCCTCATTTTACATGTAAATACAATGAGACTCAGAAAAGAAAAGTGACTTGTCCAAGGTCACTCAGGTAGTTAGTAGCCGTAGCTGGAATTTGAACCCAGGCTCCAGGTTATCTGGCTCCAAATCAGTGTTCTTGAAATTTCACCAAGTCAAGTTCTTTCTTCTGTGCTAAGTCACAGTGTGACTGTGTATATCCAAATGTAAACACTTTTTCTGGGTTTAAAGAAACAAAAAAAAAGAAAGAAAGAAATCTGCAGAATAAAATATGGTGAGATGGAAGGATCTAGAAGACTGAGAATACATGTCATATGAATCAGAGAAATTTTGGTCATTCATCTATCATGTTGGAAAGTTTGTTAATATGGAAACATCTTTGTAATGCACACACACATACATACACGCACACATATAAAATAAAATGGCTCTGCTTCTGCATCTGATTAGTAGGCATTTGGTTTACTTCTACTGTTCCCTCTTGACTCTCTGGGTGTCTGTTTATCCTCATAAAAATGTTCTTTAATTTCATCCACATCCTTTTTCATTTTGTCTATTGTTGAATTCTCTGGACTGACTTAACAGCTACCTAAAGTAGAATCTTAGAATTGGGGAGGGAGAGGACCTTAGAGGTGACCTACTTTAATTTCTCACTTCAGGCAGCCTCTCAGAAAGATAGATAGCTAATCAGCCTCCTTGCTCTCTTTTGTATTACTCATCATACATTGTGTGTATTAGATTCCCCATTACAATGTAAGTTCTTGGAGGGCAGGAACTTTTGTGTGTATGTGTATCTGTATCCTAGTGCCTAGCATAGGACCTTGAACATTGTAAGTATTTCACAATTATCTGTTGAATTTAATAGAATGGTTTAACTCTAGGGAACTATTTGAGCCAATGGGACACAAACATTTCTTCTGGTTTTCTTCCGGAATGTTCTGATATGAGGAAAATCATGGTGTATTCATACCCAATTTACTTTTCTTGTCCTTATATCTCAAAAACAAAAAAAACACAAACAAAAAAACAAAACCATACTACAGTTGTAGAAAATCTAGAAAAGGGCAACCAAAAATGACCTGGGAGATTAAGGAAGATAGTTAAATTAGAGGAAAATGAAAGCTGAAAGCAAAGAGGATCTGAGTCTATTAAAATATTAAGGATAAGAATCAGGTGAATTCAGGCTCATCTACTATGAATAATGGACCCAGAGGGCATGCTTTGAAGACTAAATTCATCATTATAGACAAAAATCAGATTGTTTAAGTTCACCCCTAATCCTTTTTTTTTTTTGAGGTTAAATGACTTACCCATGGTCACATGTGTTTTAAGTTGGATTTGAACTTGGGTCCTCCTGACTCTAGGCCTGGTGTTCTATCTATTGTGCCACCTAGCTTTTAACCTTTAAACACTGACACCAGAGGGAACAACCAGGCTACTGAAATGTTTGGACCATGATTTTAGTCCATGACACATCACTTCATCTGATAATCTTTTAAATATACATACATATATACATATATATTAAAAATATATAATGTGTACATATATATGCATGTGTCTATATATATCTATAAAATATGCATATGTATATATTTGACTAGACTTGTGATTTCATCAATGTGGTCAACTCAGGGTGCCAAATCTTCCTTAACTGGTATAAATTGACAACTTAGAGTCTTAATGAGTTGTCTCTATGGCGCTGAGGGGTTAAGTGGTTTATTAAGACAGCTGTCAGAGGTAGGAGCTAAATTCACGTCTTCCTGACTCCAGAGTCAACTCTTGACCCACTATACCACTTGGTCTCTCTCCATAACCTTGAGGTGCTCAAGTATGAGAACTATTGATATTTAGGGGACCTAGGACAAATGAGCAAGTGAAAGTTGTAGGGAGAAATTGCTTATTCCATAAAGATGTCATTTTATGTATTTGCAGGTGTCATTAATGTAAAGTTGATGATCTTGATGTTAATGTGTAAAGCTGAAAAATTTGGGATTCTGGCCTTAATAGAGATAGCTTAGCATTTGCTTCAAGTGGTAGAAGGTTAATGATATTTTTAAAGTATTTTTTTTTAAGAACTAAAGCCAACAGCTTGAAACAAACTCAAAAGAAAAGACCAAAGGAATGATCCTAAAAGATATTTTTTGTTAAATAAATAGCACTGGGAAAATAGACATGAAACAGTATTAAAATGGCTGTGATTATTACTTTCTCAGCATTCATCTGATAAACTGAGCAACATGAAGCAATGATTGCTACTTTAAAAAAAATATGAAGAGAAAATAAGCTATTCATTTAGTCAACAAAGTAAGGATAGCGTTCAACTCCTTCACAAGATAGCTAGGTACAATGCTTATCATCGAGGTGAGTGACAACAAAGCAAAGAAAATAAATGTCCCAATATTTCTTCATTCTGAGGCTGAGTCTCCAGTCTTGGGGTTGGTAAGCTCTGTTGCCATGAGGTTACAATGCTCGTGTTCGGCTCAGCTGTGCACAGGGAGGAGTCCATAGGAGGGATGCTTTGCTCCTCTTTTCGATTTAGGTCCAGTCCTTTCTTTGCCATTCTCCTCTTTTCACAGAAGCACCTGGTCTCTCACTGACTTAAAAACTCTCAGAGAAGGCCCATTATGGCCTTATTTTGTAGTCGCCATGGAGAAGAAGCAGTGGTGGGGATGAAGACAGATTCCATGCTATTCTGGTCCTGCATTCTGGGGCTGGGCTGGCTCATGGGGTAGTGTCAGCTGGGGACAGGCCCTGGGAGCTGGTCAGCCCCTCACCCCAAACGTGAGGAGATAGGGAGATAATTTTTGTATCATTTTCTTCTGGGGGTATCAAAGGTGTGCAAGAGGGATCAAGCATTGCCAATATGAAGTCATGGTGTATCCCTTGCACTCTCTGTCTCTGAAGCTCTGTAGTCCACAGAAACAGAGTCATTCTTCTGTTTGCCTATTGCTATCACTGTTAGCAGTGCTTCTTATGCGTGCCATGTAGACACAGTATTATTTAGCCAGACAGAAACAAACCAGAGGTGCCTCACAGTTTGGGATCACTGCTGGAGTCTTCTTTCTAAAAGTATTCGGTTCTCCTGTCTCCTGCTCAGCACAATGGTGCAAAAGACCTTTAAAAGGCCAAAAAGAAAGAAAATAAAATGCAGATAGAAAAAGTCAGGGCGTCATGGAGTTGTTTTGTGATTCATAATGAACACTATCACATGTCTTCCTGATCCCCCATACCAGGGATCATCTTCTCACCTTCAGCTCAGCTCTGGTTTCTCTTCATCCACTGAGTCCTTCCCTCTTACTCCCTTTGCCAGGGGCTCATAAATGATTGTTTTTGGAGAGATAGGCGATCAGTGCCACAGCCACTCCTACGTAGAGGCCAGTTCCAATCGTGATGGAGAGCACAGCCAGGAAGAGTGCCCGTCGGGAACTGGTGCTGGCTTGGTGGAAGTCACCCTTGGCCACAGCTTTGTTAGTCTGCAGAGTGGAAAAAGAAAAAAAAAATGGGTGGGGTGTAGACAATAGTCATTAGCAAAGTTGAGAATTAGCAGAAGTATAAAGAGGACTTTTTTACCCTTTCAAACCTTGAGCTCCCCCCGCATTTTGCAAAGGAAAAACATCAATGTAGAAAAGATAAAAATGGAATCTCCTTTGAGGGACAAGATTTGAGTTACGTTCCTTTGATCTTGTGTCTTGTGTTAAAACTACTAGCAATAAGAATTTAGGATTAATGGTACTGTTTTTCATGGCTTGAATGCCCACCCTTCTTGCCTATGCCTCTTAGAATCCTCATTTTTCTTTAAGACTCAGCACAAATGCCTCATCCTACATGGGGCCTTTCCTGCCTTTTGCCCATCCCTCAGATGCCTTCTTTTCTAAGGTAACTTTATACCTACTTAGCATATATCTTATAGATACCTGTATTTTCGCATTTGGCTGTATCATGTGTGTACTTATATATGTTCATGTATATGTGCATGCACATACATTTGCATAAGTATGTACATATATAAACACATGTAAATGCATATTCATACTCATATGTATGTATATACACAAATATCCATGCATGTATATTCATCTGTGTCTTCCTCATTACAATTTAAACTCCTTGAGGGAAAGAACTGATTTTTATTTTTTATTGTATTCCTAGTTCTTGGCTCATAATAACGTTTGCTGATTGATTGTCCTTGTCCTCAAGAAAAGTTCATTTGCTGGTTGGGGCAGGGGTAATTAGGTGATACCACATTTAAAAAAAAAAGGCAAGAAAAAGCAAATACAATGTAATTTCAAGAGAAAAAAAGGACTGTGCTAATAACTGGACAGAAGGGATTCAGTAGAAGCCTTTTGTAGGAGGTTTCAGACATGATCATTTGATTTGATTGTGGCAAGTAAGAGGGAAGTAATTCCAGTAGCACCCTGATTATGCCCTAGTCAAAGTTTGAAAATTATACCCCATCAAATCAAGTTTGGACTCACAATTTTGTCTCCTCGATGGGTATGGGTATTGTCTCCCAGAGGATTTATGTGTTTAACACATGAGACTTGACTTTCTAAAAATAAATATCTACATACTATGGACAGCAGAATTTGCTGGCATTAAAATACGAGCATTTATAAAAAAGCAGGCTTAAAAGTGAAAAAATAGCATGGTGAATAGAAGGCTGACTCCAAATTCAGTATGGCCTACATTCAAGTCTTGCTTCTGACATATACTAGGCATGTGACAATGGACAAATTGCTTCAACTCTCATTGTACTGGGCAAATCTTCAAGACAGTTAAGTTACAGATTAGTTACCGATCTGCATAAGTAAAGTATGTTTGCGTACCAATCACAGGTCTGGACCAAAAACAATTGTTAAACACATCCTTCATTTCAACCCCTGGATGTTTTACCCTAGATGGCAAACTGCCTAGCCTACCTACTCATCTTGGCCTAGCTTTGTTTATAACAAGAAAGTGACCTCCTCTAATGTCCCTTCCAGCTATAAGATTCTACAGTTCTCTGGCAGCCAGGTATTGGGTTCAGTACTTGTAATATCTCAAAATACTTGTGTGTACTTAAAGTACTCATTTATGGCAGTTCTGTGAGTACTTGTCACTTTAATTACAGCTCATATTATACAATAGGGTGGACTGGACAACAGGGACCAGTCTTCAAAGCATGGGGGAATTGGACACGACTGAAAAATGACTGAACAACAATGATTTGAAGGAAAAATGTTGAAGACTTTTTTTTTAAAGGTAATGAGCAGTTATTGTAAATAGCTCTTTGGATGAAACTCTGGAAGTAATACTTTTTAATTAATGTTGTTAAATGTCATCTGGTTGTTTGATTCACTGCTACTCAGCTTGTACCATCTTGCTGCTATTACCAAACTAGAGTAAAAAGAGTGAGGGATTTCTTTGCCAAAGGCCAAGCCCCAGTATAACCACTTTTCCCTACTTTCATCCCTTCTCTGGAGATAGTCCTCTCTCTCTCTCTCTCTCTGATCACTGTAGTTCAAAACACACAGGAAAAGCTAGCACACAATTACACCTTACTGTATATTGTGAGGGAAACATCAGTTGGCCAGTCAGTCAACAAACATTTATTAATTGTTTACTTTGTACCAGGTCCCGTGAAAAGAGTTGGGGATACGGTAAAAGGTAAAAATGTGGCCTCTACCCTTATGGAGCTCATATTCTAATGGTGGAATGGGTGCTTGTGCACATGTGTGTTCGTGTGCCCGTGTGTTCGTGCGCTCGTGAGCACACACACACAGATAGTCACAAATAGACTCACATACACACATACACACACAAAGTAGAAGAAAGGTAATATCAAAAGGAAGAGGCTAGAACCTAGAGGGATAGGGAAAAGCCATCCTCGCGCAGGAAAGTGGCATTAAAGTTAAGTCTTGAAGGAAGTCAGGGGAATCAATAGGAGGATGTGAGGGGGCAGAGTGTTCTAGGCACAGGGGACATCCAGTGGAAAATGTCAGCAGAAGGGAGAAAGTTGTGCTTGATGAATTGCAGGTAAACCAGTAGAACTGTATTGTAGAGGATATGGACGGGAGTGTGAAGTAGGAGAAGGCTAGAAAGGTATAGATGAACCAGGTTATTCGGGGCTTTATACACCAGACTGAGGATTTTATGTTGGATCAAGGAGATAATAACTTGTTAAGCTTGGGGGTAGGCGTGACATGGTTATAATTGTTCTTTAGAAAATTACTTCAACAACAACTGAGTGAAGAAAGGTTTGGAGTTGGAGATGCTTGAAGTAAAATAACAAATTAGGAAAAAAGATAGAATAGATCAGGCAAGAGGTGGAGAGTTCGTGAAGTAGACCTATGTCTGCATGAGTGGAGAGAAGGATGCATATAAATGTGATGTTGAGAAGGTTGAAATGACAAGATCTGGTAATGGGTTAGATATTGGGTAAGGAAGGGATGAGTAATTATTAAGGACCTACTATATGCCAGGCACACTTTACATATAGTAGTTCATTTGAGATAATGTTGTATATACAGGCTGATAGAAAGGAGATTTGAAAATGATGCTGACTGTTGGCATGGTTTATTGGGAGGATGGTATTATTACTTCATTAATATTAGGGGACTACAAAAAAATTACAAAAATATTAGGGGACTCCAGAAGTAGAGAAGGTTTGGGGGAAAGATAATAAGTTCTATCAGACATATTATACATATATAGAGATGGTAAATTATACAATGAGCCTCACTTCAGTCAACAGGACACCAGGTTAGGACATTAAACAACCCCTGCTAGGGCATCCAGACAGCTAGGTGATGCAGTGGATAGAGTGCCAGGCCTGGAGTCAAGAAGACTTATCTTCCTAAGTTCAAATCTGGCCTCAGACACTTTCTAGCTGTGTGACCCTGGGCAAGTCACTTAACCCTGTTTGCCTCAGTGTCCCCACCTGTAAAATGAGCCAGAGAAGGAAATGGCAAACAACTCCAGTAGCTCTGCCAAGAAAACCTCAAATGAGGTCATGAAGAATGGGACATGATTGAAACAATAACAATAAGCTAGGGAAAACCTGTTGTTACTCATTCTTTTTGGTGTACATCTTTACTTGGCAAAATAAAATATTTAAGAAAATGAAGTAGAGTGGTAAAATCCCAACGCACAAGCCAATACAGTTCCATATGCTAGTGGGTCCGTGTGGATTTGTGGCCACACTCCAAGCTTTGGTGCTTTCAGTGACTGTGCAGGAATCATATTGTTTTGCTGTTGGAGAATGGTAACCAGGCAGGGTGGTAAAGCACTGTTCCAGTATACCAACAAAAGTCACATTTTGCAAAAGCAGCAGGTGTTGTATCCAGCTCTAAATGTTAAATCAACCACTTGGCAGTGGTGAATTCTTCCATGGGGAGTGCTTTCCTTTCCAATAAAATGTTTATATCTCCATCATTCACTCATCATATTGTTTTTTAGTTTTATCTTTTATTAAATAAATAATTTATTTTTAGTTTTCAGCATTCAGTTTCACCAGATTTTGAGTTCCAATTTTTCTCCCCATCTCTCCCGTCCCCCCACCCCAAGACGGTGTGCATTCTGAATACCCCTACCCCCAATCTGCCCTCCCTTCTGTCTCCCCTTCTTCTCTTATCTCCTTTGCCTTCTATTTTTTTGTAGGGAAAGATAGATTTCTATACCCCTTTGCCTGTATATCTTATTTCCCAGTTGCAAGTAAAAACAATGTTTAACATTCATTTTTAAAACTTTGAGGTCCAAATTATCTCCCTTCCTCCCTCCCTACCCATTCTCATTGAGAAGGTAAGCAATTTGATATAGGTTGTACATGTGTAATCATGCAAACACTTCCATAATAGTCACATATTCTGTTTTTTGTTATACATTTTTTTCTGTACCAGTCTTGTCTCTCTTTACTGAATCATAAGCTCCCACCCCCATGTCTTATTTGTTTATGTATCTGATGTAGCACCTTGCAAAGTTGCTATTGTTTTTGTTTTTGTTGATATTTGGACATATAATTTCACTGGAGTAAGTGAACCTCCCTTTACCAATGCCGAGTCAGCTTCTGTTCAGAATCTATAACAGAGAGTTCCCTAAGACCCTGAAAAGTTAAGTGATTTGCCCAGAGCACAAAACTACTATGTGTCAGAGATGGAACTTAAAACTAGGTCTCCCAATTTCTTTCCAAAAGAGGTAAACTCCTTCAGGGCAGAGACTATTACATTTGGGAGTTTGTATCATGGCAGTATCTGGCACATAGTGAGATTTTATTCAATGTTTGTTAAATAAAAATTGAATTTCTGACTCTGATATTGGCTCTCTATACATTCCATATTGCCTCTCATATTATGCCTCAGCATACATTGGTCGCTTAAAAATATTTGTAAAATTCAATTGAATGATAAAATTACAATTGTATAATTTGACACTTAACTAACTAGTAGGGTTAAAAAAATTACATTTTGATATTTTTTAATATATATGTCCTATCTTG